CCGTGCATTGATTACAATACTTACCATAATTGTAGCCAATTTCAGTGAGTAATACAACTTCATTCGCTGACATAAAACAAGTTTTATTCTTGAAATTCGACCCCGTGTCTTAGTGTTCTCACGTTTATTGAAACCTCGCATGAATCAAGAAATAAGTTCGTGTACAAAGTGTACGAAAGTATTCCTTTATTTGACCTTATTATACGATCACAAAAACAACTTTTTAAAATCTTTTTTGGGGTGGTCCTCGGGTAAGCGCCCACCCCCAATTTTTCCAGATTTTGTATGTTCAGGCCCCTGGGCGCGTGCCCGGGGTAATACGGTATACACCTTTAGATATAGATTTAGTCCCCATTGTGTAGAGCAACAAACTGGAGCAATGGTGATATACTGTCTGTCTGTTTGTCTGTCTGTTCAAATCTTACTTCAATTCAAAGGCTACACAATTAGTTACTATACTAACTTCTAAAATCATATTTTTAGTACATAATGTATTAACTAGATTATTTAGATATTTATTCATTTTAAGCCAAAAAAAAAACATTTCTGGCAGCTTCGGAAACTGATTTATTTTTTCCAATTTCCAATTCTCCACTCATATTAAAGTGGCAAATTTGTTTAAATATAACCACATAAAGATGACCAAATCTTACCAAAATACAGATTCATGGGCAAAAGTGACTTTAAACAATGACATATACGGGAAACTACATAAAATCATCAATGGGATGCCGTCAGAGCTTAGCCTCTCAAAATGGCAATGTATTTGACATTTCATTCAGGGCACCTGGTAAGTTGTCATCTTGTATCATAAGCCCTGAGGTTCGCTTAACAAAATTAGATTTTAATAGGAGACCTGGGAGTAGCCTTGCAGCCATTGTTTTTCACTTGCAAGTAGTTTAATGTACAACGTCATTATAGAGTATGTATGTTAGGCTTTCAGTGTTCACAATTCTGCAATGCATATTGACACTGATGACACAGGAAATGTAATATTAAAAATAAAAATCAATAGTAGACT